TAGTTCCGACAGGGAAGTGGGCGGGGCCAGGGCCAGCCGCAGTCTGACGCGAGGCTTAGAGCCGGCCTGCCTCAGTAGTCCCTGGCGCGCCCTAACGTGCCGATCACTAAGGTGTCTGCCACCCACGCTACTACACCATGTGGGACTGGCGGGCGGCTCTGGGCTGCGGGGCTGCGCGGGGAGGGGGACAGCAATGTCGGCAGGTTGACAGCAGCAGAGCTGGAGGCAGCAGCGGATGGATACCAAAGCGCCCCTCTGTGAGCTGCATTGCAGTCTGCCCAGTGCTTGGCTCCTCCTCTCCACACCCCCTCCATTCTGGGCGCTAGTGGGAGGGGGGGTTGCCAAGGACTGCAGGCCTGGCGGGGGCTGGAGGGGGAGAGGCGATAACTGCGCAACACACAGAGGAGAAGGCTCTTCCATGTTTGTCTTTCACTGCTTCTCCAGCCTCCTCTCCAGAAAGGTGAGGAAGGCCCTTCTGCTCTTTGGGGAACTGAAGTGGGCGCACCTCGTGCCTGTGCCTGCTCCTCTTTCAGAGGAAGGCTGACCTAGACCTCTAGCCCTAGGAAACCAACCACTGGTCTGCTCCAAGAGTCATTCTTTCTGCCATCCTGATCGTTTCTCCATTCCAAATGGGAATTCATTTAGTCATTTTGCTGTCCCCACAGTTACCCAAGAAAGAAGGCCTTCCTCTGTCAGGACATGCAGGGGTCATACAGTCCTCTTCCTTTGCTGCCCAAGGGCCAGGTGTCAGGCACCAGGTGGGACCTCAGTCCTGGCTCCCAACCCACTGTTCTTTGAAGTTTCCTCTTTCCATTCTGACCAGGCCTTTATGACATTTGGCAGTGTGGAAATGTGAGGCAGACTGGAAGCAGCTTGGATCTCAGCCATAGCCACCTGTCTAGGCTCACCAGTCATTCCCAGGTGAAGGACTCCCTTTCTCAAGTCGGAATTCTGAGTGTTTCTAAATCCTTTCCTTTACCCCCCCATTCTTCTACTCTTGAGCCCTTCTTTTCTCTGCTTGCTGCATGAGACAAATGGGGCACAACAAAATTGATTCGGTAGCTGCTGTCCATTCAAAAACTCATTGAAATGCCTCCCTCATCATGTTTGTCAGAATAATGTGGCTCGAAAGATATCCACATACTATCCCCTAGAACATGAAAACATATGTTACCTGGCAAAGGACAATTAAGGTTGCAGATGGAATGAAGGTCGCTGGTCAGTTGCATTTAACATAAAATTATGCTGGATTATCCTTGCCAATGTAATTGCAAGGGTTCTATAGAATCTCTGTGTGGAGGGAGGCCAAAGATACAGTGTCCCAGTGAAGCAGCCTTAGAAAAACTAGACAAGCCGTTGTTGGCTTTGAAGATAGAGGGGAATCTCGGAGCCACAGAAGCTGGAAAAGACACAGATTCTCCCCCCCGAAACCCAGGAAGGAAAACAGCTCTGCCAACCCCTTGATATCATTGTAATGCGAGCTTTTCTTTTAAATTTCCAATCTCCAATACTGTAAAGTAGTAAATTTGTATCATTTTAAGCCACCACATTTGCAACACAATTGCCCTTTCATGTCCAGAGTTCTTGGATCTGCTGATATAACCAAACCTCAATGATAGATACTTGAATTAAAAATTAGTACTGAACATGTATAAACTTTTTCCTGATCTTTATTCGTAAAATTATACAGCATAGCATTTATCTACATAGATTCTATGTTGTATTAGTTATAATGAATAATGTAGACAAAATTTAAATTGTATGGCATGCTGTGTGTTTATTACATGCAAATACTATGCTCCTTTGAATATGGGACTTAGCTTCTGTGGATTTTGGTATCTGTGGAGATCTTTTAAGCAATCTCATGTGAATACCATGGGAGGATTAGAATTCATTGTGGCAGTAGTAGGAAACCATATATTTTCTTCATTTTTATGAGGTCTATTTTATTGACATTCTTCAGCTTAATTCTTTTCTGGGAATATCAAGTTTGTGATGATCTCTCCCCATTTTAACCATTCCACCCACCACCCCCTTCTTTCTTTTTGCTAGAGAAATGTTTGTAATTACCCACTAGACTAATATTGGGCTGTGTTACTCTTTTTGTACACCACTGCTACTCCACTGGATGAAAAGGAAATCATATTTTCACCATGGATTTTCATATATTTCCATGTCATCTTTTGTTGCATACCAGATGCTTGTTATAACTAATATTTAATGATAGAAAGAAAACACCTGGATGATTCTATACCTTATCTGTACACAAATGGATATTACCTATCAGAGGAAGATGACTTTAACTCTGCTGTTTAAATGGTCTTAACTGAATGGTGGATTATTTTCTTTTTGGTTCCACAGTATAGTCTTGTGAATTCCAGACTTGAAAGGGATTTAGGGTCTGATGGTATTTGTGGGGGTATGTGTGAATTTTTTGCCTTCTCTTATTTGCTCCTCTTCTTTCTTAAAGTCATTACTGTCTTTCATTTTTTCAATAAGTTTATATTGAGCATCTATCTTGTCCTGAGTAGTGGGGACACAGTAGAAACTGAACAGAAAGAAATGCTCATTTTTCCAGAGCTTGAATCAATTTTTTTTCTTATTCAATCCTCTATCCTAAAAATTTATAGACATTTGAAAGTTAGGCCAGCACAAATTTCTCTGGCAATTCTGGAAGTGCTAGATTCTTGAATTCATGATATTTACTTACACAGGAATGGCTCCAAGAAAAGTTGAAAGCGTTTACTGTAGGACTAAAATATCTGTTGAACAATTTGTTGTCAGTTCATTAAGAAAACATGGACTATGCCTGGTGAATATTTACTTAGCTGTGAAAGGCCCTATTCCAAACTTTTTATGCTCATTAGCTCACAGCAATACTACAAAGTATAGACTATTACCAGAATATCCTAGTACTGCCTCTATGTAACACATGAGGAAACCAGCTTAGATAAAGTTAAATGTTGTCTTTAAAGTCAGAGACCAATTACAAGATTGACACAAGATACTAACCAATGTCTGTTGGGTTGCTAAGCACTACTTACTCCTAAAATAGGTTCCAGACCAACAGATTGCAACAGCCATGATTTCACTCCCCAGCACCTGCACTAGCAGTTGTGTAACCCTAAATTGCCCCTAAAATCTAGATTTCAGAAACAACCCACAGCATTAAGCTTTTGCACAAAGGTAGTTGTTTTGGCTTATCATAACTATGATTCTGCCTCCAACCTCACTGTGCCTTCCCACATGTCTGTGAATTTGCACACAAGCATATCCCTTCCTGTGCAGCTTATGTGATAGATTATTATCCCTCTGAGTCATTATGGACATGGATCTGTTTTTACCTATTTAGCTTAACTTAGCTTCCTAATGTTTTATTTTGCAATTTCCTGGTGACATATGCTATTCAGCATCTATTAAATATGCTCATTTGTTATTTGTATATCCTTTCAGGGGCAGATATCTGTTCAGATTATTTGCCCATTTTTAAATCGAAGTGGTTGTTTTCTTGATTTTATATTTTAAGGGTTTGTTTTATATTTTGGATACCAGTCTTCTAACATATGTGTGTTTTGTAAAGAAATACTCTGTCTCTGACTGGTCTTTTTGTTCTTTTAATGTAGTATTTTGCAAAGCAGATTTATCTTTCATGAAGCACAGTTTATTAATTTTTTCTTTGATCATGTTTTTGGTGTTATATCTAAAAAGTCCTCACCAAATCCAAGGTACCTAGATCTTCTACTATATTCTAAGGAGTTTCATGGTTTTACCTTTTACATTTTGAGTAAATATTTGTGAGAGGGTAAGGTCTGTGTCTAAATCCCCTCTCTCTCTCTCTCTTTTTTTTGCATAAAGATATCCAGTTGTTCAGCACCATTTGTTAAAAGACTGTCCTTTCTCCATTGAAATGCAATCATTCCTTTGTCAAAGATCAGTTGACTGTGGTGTGGGTTTGTTTCTGGGCTCTCTCTCCTGTTGCATTGAGTGTCTGCTATTCTCCAACACCAAACCCTCTTAATCACTGTAGTTTTATGGTAAGTCTTGAAGTTGTGTAGTGTCAGTCTTCTGATTTTGTTCTTCTCCTTGAATATTATTTTTGCTTTTAGGAGTCTCTTGCTTCTATGTGTAAATTTCTAAAGCAGTTTACCAATAGTTACAAAATAACTTCAAGGTATTTGAGTTGGAGTGCATAGAATCTAGATCAAGTATGAGAGAACAGATCTCTTTATAATACAGAATTGATATCTAGGAACATGGCGTATCTATCCA